CCGGGCCCTCCGGCGTTGTCCCCGGGAGCTGTCCCGCCGCTCGGCTGAGGCTTTACCCTGGGAAGGGTCTGGTGTTGTCAGGGCTGGGTCGGGTTCACGCTCGGAAGCGCCTTGCAGGGGGGCGGAGCGGAAGGGGGCCTGGTTTGTCCCGTGGAGTCGGCACACGGGTTCCCCTGCAAGGTTGCTTCCTCGTCCAGCAACCCGAAATTTGCATCTTGTGATACTCCTGGTGTGAATCACGCATGTGAAATATACTCTGTTACGTATCAATATAGCATTTACCTTAAGAATTCAATCAGAAGGCTGCAACAGAGCTCATCTTTGTGCTAGCCACGTCTTCTCTACGCAAAGCAACGATGAGTTCTTTACTTGTGTTGGTTTTTCTCACCTGCCTCTACCCCATCGTAAGCTCCTCTCTGGAGATGTATGCGCTGTGGAGGCCGCTAGCGTGAAATCCCAAACACCTGAGATTTTTGCTTGTGTCTTTCCCTCCTAGAGGCGACGTGCATTACGGAGATGTCAGTAATGATGGCATGCTGGAAACAGAATGACTTCAACGATACAGTTTGTGCCGAGGAGATCCGGATGTTCTATGACTGCGTGGCAAAGGCAGAAGTAATTAAGGCTTCTTTTGTGTTCTTTAGGGCAAGTAGTAGGGAAGGAGGAAGCCCCCAATCGTTTTTTATGTGCCAACAATAATAATGTTCTCTGAAGAATTTGCTTTGTGTTGTAGCTCAATTGAACTGTAGGAGGGATGCAGAATGATGTAGATCAAACATGCAGTCCTTCCTTTCTGAATGCAGAAGTTAAATTAAGATTAAATTAAATTAGAATTAAAATAAAGGAGTGTGGGAAGGGACTGGATGTTTGGTATGCTATAACTAAGGATGAAACAACGGTTGCATCCATCCTCCTTCTGTTGTCAAATTCTTGAAGCAGAGCTCAGTTGCTGTAGTTGACTCTAACGTAGGCCATTTATTTTGATTTCTTCCAGTTTTTAATCTCTAATGTTTCAGCACTAATGAAGCAATAACAGTCACTGCTCTTCTCCATGTTACATGATAGTTCTGAATGAAGGAGAGTACAGTTCGGAGCTGTTAAGTAGAGGAGTGATTTGTATGGTGTAAGATGTGGATTGTATTGTAACTGGGGAGACATACAGTGTAGTTAAATTCAGAAATCGCTCTGATTCATAAAATTAAGAAATAGCTGACTCGGGTTACCAATCCAATCCCAGCATTATCTAGACAGTGTATGTGGGGGGGAATTAGGATTCCCAAATTCCAATCTGTCATGAATCTGTAAGTAGTTCTGTGTTTGCAGGGCTGAGGGTGGAGACAAGGTGGTAGAGAAACAACCAGTGGTTTCAGTAATCCTTGTAACAAACAGAATTTTCAGGATACATGAGGTAGTTACAGCTATTGCAGACTCCCTGAAAATTAGGAGTTGTTTTATGCTGTTTCTGACTTTGAAGGCTAGACATTTTCTTGAAAAACAAGTTTTTATTGTTTGGAAATTAAAGGTTTCCAGCTACATGATAAATTTGAAATCAAATCAGTTTCAAAAGCAGACTAAAGGTAAGTACATGTACTAAACTTGTCCTTAAACTGATTTCAGATTTCCATTTTTTTTAGTAATAGTACCATCATTTAATAAATAGTTATTTACTGTTGCTGTTTGACAGCACAAATTAAATTTGTCCACAGTTTATTTGGTGGATTACAAAGGAAACAAACGAATAATAGAAAGTAAAAAGAAAAATCTTCTGCGTTGTTACTCTAAGTTTATAATACTATTAACTAAGAATATGGAAGAATATCATCTTTGCATGTTGTCAGTCATTGATTTCACCATTTAAAGGTCGTCAGCTTCTGAAAGCCATGTGATTATTGAGCCAAGTGCTGTTACAAGTGCTCCTTAAAGAAATAGCATTCTTCTCAAAGGAACATCCAAGTGCAATTGGTAACAGTCTTTGGGGGTGAGAGCCAACTCAGCAAGTAAACAGAGGTAATATCTTGAGGTTTCTTTTTCTGTTCCAGAAGGAGCGCAAGGATCAAAATGAGGACACCCTGTCACCCAGGGGAAACTTAACTTCAAGCAAAGCGAACAAGCTCCTAAGGAGGTTTCCTCAGATCACACGTTATGTATAATGCGCTTTACTTAAAGGGACTGCGGACAAGCCAGTAAAGTTGGAGTCTTTGGCAAAAAGTGAAAAGTAGACTTGAGTGAGCATTTGATGTCACGTGGTATCTGTCAGCACTGCTGCGTGGATCTTGACTGCGCCTTTGTTTCCAGAGTGAAAAATGCCCATCTTGACCAGCTGTCTTTGTTCATGAGGTTCTTGGGTCTTGCGATCTTAGGATTTCTGCACTGTGGTGTTCAACTAGCCTCAGTGTGGAGTCAGGTCCTCGCTGAAATAAAATCTTCTAGGAATGCATGTAAATGCATTTTCTAACAGTTAGGGGGTGCCTTTTCCTCGTGTATAAGCTTCCTGCCTAACTTCTGAGCTGCCAGCAAGAAGTGCTCAGGCCAGACTTAAAACTGATAGTAATCTCATGACTCGTACTCCTACACGTATGTATACGCAATTTGGTTCCTCTTGAAATTTTTTTAAT